AGCCCCAGTCATTGTCACCTCCCAAGTCCTCGGCTGCATCTTGTGGCAGAAAACCCCGGCCACGCCCAAGCCCCCTGAGACGGGAAGAATGGTTCTGGATGTGTCTGGGAGAAGAGCTCTCTGGGCAGCGGGCGCCGTGAGCGCAAAGGTCCTGAGGCAGGAGTTTGCCTAGATGCGGGGTTCTTTCCCCAGCACTACTGACCTTTGGGGCTGGATAATTCTGGGGTAGGGAGGCTGTGCCATGCCTTATAAGATGCTTAGCAGCACCCCCTTATCTGCCCTCTGATTCTAATAGCAGTTTGACGACCACAAATTGCCAGGATGGCCAAGCTACACCTAGGGTACAAGCCCTCCTCACGGAGACTCACTGGCCTGTTGGAGATGCAGGGCATTGGGACAGAGCGATGAGGGGGTGTGGTTCAGGACTTTAGCTCTTTCTTAAGTGGGATGGGGCGGCTAGAGTCTTCAGCATTTTTTTTTAAAGATTATTTATGCTTGTAAGAGCTGGGGTGCAGGCCAGAGGTACGGTGTGGGGGGGCAGGGGTGAGAGGATTCACCGAGACAGAGTGGGGAATAGAACAGGCAGATTGACTGAAATACACTGCTGAGGGCAGCAGCGGGGAGACAGGAGAGGTCTGCTGCGCCATGTGGGTCAGCTCCCTGGCCAGGATCGAACTCGTGCAGCAGTGGTTGTAGAGGGTTTCATGGTACTGTGCTTTAATCCCTTGCGCCACCAAGGAGGGCCCAGCTTCAGCCTTTTTAAAAGGTGCCCCTAATGCTGGGTGGAGGAAGGACTGCAGGACATAGATGGAGCAGGGGGCACGGGCTTCAGAAGCCAGGAGAGCAAAAAGAAGCCTATTGCAGTGACCTTAGCAAGAGGCAATACTGGCTAAACCCTCCTGTCGCAATAAACTCTAGTGCGCATGTGTGTGGGTGCATGTGGGTGGACAGGTATGTGCGCAGAAGCATAAACATGCACGAATGTGTGTGCAGATGTGCGTACATGCCTGTTACACGTGGGGAGCATGTTAGTTTATGCACACATGCCCATGGATATCTGTTCACATCGTGTGTGCACGTGTGTCACACACATGTGCAAAGGCATGTGTGCTGTGGGGGGGAGCTATGTACATGGGTGTGTGTGTTTGGTGTACGTTGTGTCCGTGCACACACATGTGCAGGACCATGTCTGTGCATGTGTGTGTTCACATGTGGAACAGGAGAGTAAAAGTTGCCCTGTAAGTCTTCTTTGAGAACTCCCGGATGCCTGCTGTGTTTGGGGTTTGCCAGCTGGACCCTGACGTGAACCCCTTTTCCCGCGCCACCCACATCCTTGCCAGGATAAACCTCACGGTGCCCCAGGGCTATCTGCTGGCGGTGGTGGGACCAGTGGGGGCAGGGAAGTCCTCCCTGCTCTCCGCTCTCCTTGGGGAGCTGTCCAAGATGGAGGGATCTGTGAGCATCAGGGTGAGTCTGCACCCCCTGCCCATCGGCTATGTGCCTCCCTCCTAAGAACCCCACTCACGGCCACTCTTCTTCATTCACTCTCTCCACCTTCCACCTCTCACCAAGAGCCCACCCACTCTGCTCCTCCAAAGTTGCTCCTACTTCTGTCCTCATTGGTCTCTTGATGGCCAAAGTGAGTTGTGTTTTAGGGTCCCATGGCCTATGTGCCCCAGGAGGCCTGGGTGCAAAACACATCTGTGGTGGAGAACGTGTGCTTCAGGCAGGAGCTGGACCCGCCATGGCTGGAGAGAGTCCTGGAGGCCTGTGCCCTGTGGCCAGATGTGAGAAGCTTCCCAGCAGGAGTGCACACCCAAATTGGGGAGCAGGTGAAGTTTTGAGGGTCTTCTTGGGGCAGGGAAGCACTGCAGCTGGAGAGGGGAGTAGAGAATAGGGGAGAAACAGAACCTGGCCCAGGACCAAGCATATAGTAGATGCTCAATAAGTAGATATTAATGTGTGTTGTTGGAAACAGAGAAAAAGGGAGTCAGAGAGGCCTGGTAGGGAGGAGTGAGGGCTCTCCAAAACTGGAAGAAGGAGACCTGAGTGCCTGCCTACCCTCCCTGTCTTTCGGGGTGACATAGGTCAAATTACTTCCTCTCTCTGGGACTCATTAAAGGCTTCTGGGTAGAGATATCCAAAAAACAGGATACATACACCTGGGCTAGGGATTGGGCAGGGGGCAGCAACCTTTCGTTCTTGCAAATAAAGTTGTATTGAGACATAGCCATGCACATTCTTTCCATGACGCATGGCTAGTTTTGCATGACAAAAGCAGAGATGAATGGTTGTGATGGGGACTGGGGACTCCACAAAATTTGAAATCATTACTCTGCCCTTTATAGGAAGAGTGAGCCCTGGATGAGGGAATTGAGAATAGAAAATTGGGAGTCAAAGTTAAGGAAATGGGTGAGATTTTTCTGGCGAGGAGAGAGGACCAAGAGAGGATTTGGAGGGCCCCTGTGTGGGAGGCACCCAGGGTGGAAGATGAGGGAGGTGTGTTTCGGAAGGAAAGGGGTGTCCCCTACCCTCATGTGCTGACTCAGCGCCTGCTCTCCAGTCCCCTCCTCCTGCTGTCACCCCATCCCAGGTGATGGAGGCTCCATCTGCCATTCTTGATTGCTCTCTTTCGTGTACCCACACATAATCCGTCAGCAAATCCTGCTGGGTCCACCGTCAAGGCAGACCCCAAATAATCTGACACTGTCACCTCTCACCAACACTGTAGCCATGCCCCTGGCTGACCTCCTTGTCCACGCCCCTGATAGGCTCATCCCAGCTGCAAAAATGATTCTGGTCACACAGAGTTCAGATCATGTCCTCCCGCTATTCGGAACCACTAAGAGTCACCCGTGGCCCCCAAAGTCAAAACCAAAGACTTGACCATTACTGGAATTTGGTCCCTGTTATCTCTCTGACCCCATTTGCCATCTTGCTCCCCCTTTCCTGCTTCACTCCAGCCACTTGGATCTTTCTTGAACACCCCAGCCACACTCCTACCACAGGGCCTTTGCATCTGCTGCTCCCCCTGCTAGGAAAACTCTGTCCCCCATGGCTCAGCCCTCCTCCCCAGATCTCGAGCCAGATGTTACCCTGGCAGAGAGCTTTCCTGACCACCCCCACCCTCTCCCTGCTTTAGGGGCCTCAGGGCCTAAAGCACCATGGAAAGGTGAAATAGTTTACTTGTTTGCTTATTGGCTGTCCGCCTCCCACCCTGTCCTCGTTAGACTGAGATGCATGAGAACAGGGCTGTGTTTGCTCACTGGGTGTCCCCAGAGCCTAGAACACTCTGCTGGTTATAGTCACCCTGCAATAAGTGGGGAAGGACTGACTGACTGACTGAATGAATGAATGAAAATAGGACTGAAAAGCTCCTCCTGGACTAGGCGACAGGAAGTTACCAGTGTCCTTGAGGAAGCTGGTGTCCATGGAGAAGTGAGATGCCAGGCTGAGCACACCAGACGTGGAAGGCAGAGTGGAAAGGGGACAGGCAGGCCAGGGAACAACCAGGGACGCTGGCCCGAGAGTGAAGCCAGCCTGTTGGCAGGCTCCTCCCTCCGTCACATTGGCCTCCCCAAGCAATAGAGACTCTTCTTCCCTCTCTGTGGCTGCAGGGCATGAATCTCTCTGGTGGCCAGAAGCAGCGGCTGAGTCTGGCCCGGGCCGTGTACCGGAAGGCTGCTGTGTACCTGCTGGATGACCCCCTGGCGTCCCTGGATGCCCACGTGGGCCAGCAAGTCTTCAACCAGGTCATCGGGCCCAGTGGGCTGCTCCAGGGAACCGTAAGCTGGGGCAGAGGAGATGGGAGTTACAAGCCCGCCGCAGAGAAAGCCCATGGTCCAGCCCCAGGTCCACTCATCACTGCCCTTCTTGAGTGGGTCTTCCTTTTCATCGTGGTCAGCTTTGCTGTGGCCATGGGTCACAAACAGCCCCCAGATCCCAGCAGCCAGCGCAGCAGAGATTTCTGGCTTCTGGATGTCTGGTTAGAGCCCAGCTTTGACTCTTGAGCCAGGGCCCGGTGAACTCCGGTCTCTGTTTTGAGACGAGGATTCCTTCTCTTTCTCTTTGGGGCGTGCTGTTTCCTCACCCTTTTCACAGGATGGGAGCACAAGAAGGAGTGCTCTCTCCACCCAAACCCAGAGACACTGCTCCTCCCCCAACTCCCCCAAGGGGAAGACTGACGGAGCACACGGGAGTAATCCCCACATCTTTCCCGCCCAGACGCGGATCCTGGTGACCCACACGCTCCACGTCCTGCCCCAGGCAGATTGGATCGTGGTGCTGGAAGGTGGGGCTGTTGCCGAGATGGGCTCCTACCAGGAGCTTCTGCAGAGGAATGGGGTCCTGGTAGGCCTTCTGGATAGAGGCAGCCAGCCGGATGGAGGAGAAGGAGGTATTGGGGCGAGGCTTTGCTGCTTCTCTGACTCCTGCCACTCTAGAGAGAAGGTTGCAGGGACATCCCCCCTCCCCACCCATGGGTGCAGCAAGGGTTCCCCCACGGTGGAACCCAGGCAAGCAAATGTCTCTTCTGAGAGGCCACATTCTCCCTAATAAGCCCATGGTTCTATTTATGACCCAGGGGCTGTGCAAAGTGCTTCTAGAAACACAGTTTCATTTGATTGTCACAGCCCCCAGGAGAGGCATGCAATCATTGCTACCATTTTAGAGATGAGCAAACGGCCATCAAGAAAGTCCCTGTGCCAGGCTCTGCCTCTTCTGGAAGTATCAGTGAGCCCTGGTGTCTGTGGGCAGAACCTGAGTGTTGATTCAGGGTCACCATCCTGGAACTTGAAGATGAGGCTCCCCAGCATGGGGGACAGTCAGTGGGGTCAGTCAGTGGGGAAGATCCCTCCTGGGGAAATGACACAAGGTTAGGTGGGAGGCCTCTGCCAAAGAACATTCCAGCACAAGGACCTGATTATGCAAGACTGCCGGGACCTGCTGCCGTCCGGCTTGGTAAAGTGCTTTCTGATGTTCCCCAGCCTCATAGCGGTGCTCCCTTCTGTCTGCTGGGTGAGTGAATGCATGAACGAACAAATGAATGAGGCTCTTGGAAGAACTAAGGGAGGAGTGAGATGGGTGCAGGACCCGGGTCAGAGGAAAAGGATGTTCAAACAGGTGAAGGCTGTGTAGCCAGCCAGCGGGTGTCCCTGCCCCGACCCCGTGTGTGACAGGACTCACTCAACCTTGCAGAATCGGAAGCTACGACCGATGCCGAGGCCCCAGGAGGCTCCGCTGGAGGCAGGCGGTCCGTGAGTGGCCCTGAGGGGTGAGTTCAATGTGGCACTGAGCTCGAGGAGGGTGCGGACTCAGCCCTGAGACCAGCTGCATCACAGGTGGGCTGGGGGTGGCCAAAGGTACTGGGTTAGGCACGTGCTGAATACCTACTCTGGTGCTCGCAGCAATTCACCTGTGGCCTGTCTTCCACCTGGGCTGCTGCACCTGTGTGTCATGGCCTCTGTATGTAGCTGTGTGTGTGCATGATTTGGATAAGGCGCTCCTGCATGACCGCCTGGAGAATGACCCACGTCACGGGCGGCCAGGGACGCCTCAGCCACTGCTGACTGATTGTATGGTCAGAGTCCGGGACAGTCTGAGAGTAGCTGGAGAGTACGCCAAGCACCTACCAGGAGACTATGCCCAGCGTGCGTGGCCGGCATATCCCTCCCACGCCCCGCCCCCCGTTCCCCATTAAAGTTGATTGCCCTTAGTCTCCCCTGGATACTGCTGCCATAAGGTTGACTGTCCTCTGTTTTCTCTGGACCCTGTTTCTCCTGCTATTGTCCCATAATCAATCATGCTTATATGTTATTATTAAATAAATAGCAACATTCACCAGAAGCTGACAATCAAAGGACCAAAATATGAAGTCCCCAGATGGCCAGTTTTGTGAAATGGCCTTGGAAGGAAGCTTGCTCCACTTTGGGATAATAGATGGTGTTTACATGGGCACCACAGAAGGATGCACCTTGTGGGTGCTCAATGTGTTAACTGAATGAATGAATGAGTGAATGAATGAATGAACGAATGAATGAATGAACGAGCAGCTACCTTGAGGGTTGCACACACACATCCCATGGGGTAGAGCCACTGACTTGTCTTCATTTCCTCTAAATGACAGGTCCATGAAGTTAGTCCCTGAGAAGGACAGCACCACTCAAGAGACCCAGACAAGGCCTTCCCTGGGTGACCCCAAGGGAGCAGGGCAGATGACAGGAGAGGACAGCGTGCGATACGGCAGGGTAACCACAAATTGCTCGCTCTGTTATCTGCTGCTGCTGCTGCTGTTTGTTTGTTTTTTTAAGATGCACTTATTTATGCATGTAAGAGCTGGGGTGCAGGCCAGAGGTGCGGGGAGGGGGGTGAAAGGATTCACCAGAGACATCGTGGGGAGCAGAACAGGCAGATCTACTGAAATACTGGTGAGGGGAACAGCAAGTGAGCAGGAGAAGTCTGCTGCGCCATGTGTGTCAGCTCCCTGGCCGGGGATCAAACTGGTGCTGCAGTGGCTGCTGATAGCTTCATAGTGCTGAGACTTAACCCCTTGCACCACCAGAAAGGCCCTACCGCTATTGTTCAGGGGACTCAAGATCTCCCACCAGATGTAGTATTCAGGAGGAGGAGGAGGAGGAGGAGGACTGGCTTTTACTGAGCACCTACTACATACCTAGCAAGAGTCTATACATTTCACTTCCTAGTCATCACAGTCACATTTATATGAAAGAAAAATTATGTTAGCTCCATTTTAGAGAGGAAGAAACTGAGGTCTTAAAGAGTTTAGAGACTTCTTTGTCTGCTCACAGTTAGAAAGCAACTAGACTGGGACTGAAATCTAAGTCCTCCCAAATCTGAAGCTTACGCTATGTCTATCATCTGCGCTGCTTTGTTCATCCACCACCTACCTATTCACTCCTCTGTCCATTCGCTTTCCCACCCATTCACAAGCCCACCCATCCTACTCACCCCACAATCCACCCAGCCCTCTCCCAGATTTTTATCCATTCATCCATCCATCCACTTATTTATCTACCCCCCCACAGACCCATTTGTTTATTCATCCATCTGCCATGTACCTGCCATCCATCCACTTAACCACCCCGAAAACATTTACAGAACCACCACTATGTGCCAGGCAAAGCTTCCCTCGTGGAAATACCCTGCATCTAGTGGTGAAGCAGTCAGCAAATAGAATAACAAGCAAGGGAAACGGATCATGCTAACTTCTATAAAGAAAATAATGAACTGGAGATTAGGCAATGGTCAGGGGACTGTTGGGTAGGATGCTCTGAGGGCTGATAGTTAACTGAAGGATGTGAAGGAACCAGCTGAGAAAAGCGAGGAGTAGAGAGCCCTGGGAAGAGGGAAAAGCAAGTGCAAAGGGCCTGGGGCAGGAAAGATTTAGTGTACCAGAGAAAGGGATCCAATGAGGCTGGCAGACGGTGAGGAGGAGGTAAGGTCAGAGCAGTGGACACGGCATCTGGAATTTCTCTACGAGCACAAGAAAGCCATGGCAGGTGGGATCAGATTACGGTTTTCAAAGAACTTCAGATTTTTGAAGCTGGTCCGTAAGCAAATGGCTTAGCATCTCTTGGCCTCAGTTTCCTTCTCTGTGAAATGGAATTTATTGTGAGGTGGTCCCGTGGTACGTGTTCAGTAAATCACTGCAAGGTCAGCCAGCGCCGCAGCCCGTCGCCTTTAAAGCTCCCAGAGGCCCTCTGGGGGTCCTATGGCAAAAGGGGTCCTAGCCAGTGGGCCTGGCGGGGAGATGGCGCCGCAGCTGCCGAGTCTGAGAGGACCTTGAAGTCTGCTTGCCTCACTGGCATGTATAGGGCCTCACTGGTCTCGCCTCCCTTTCTCTCCCTGGGGCCGCTCCTTGCGCCCCTCCTTGTGCTACAGGTGAAAGCCGCCATGTACCTGACCTACCTGCGAGCAGTGGGGACTCCTCTCTGCCTCTACGCTCTCTTCCTCTTCCTCTGCCAGCAAGTGGCTTCCTTCTGCCGTGGCTACTGGCTGAGCCTGTGGGCGGATGACCCCATCGTAGCTGGGCGGCAGGCACAGGCAGCCCTGCGGGGCTGGGTCTTCGGGCTCCTGGGCTGTCTCCAAGGTACCCCTCGCGGCCTCTCTCCCAGCCCCACCACGCGGGGCCCAGAGCCCCTGTCTCAGCCACCTGTGTCCTCTCTCAACAGCAGTGTGAACATCCTGGGTTCAGCTCTTTCTTCCGTTTTCGCCTTGCATGTTTGAGGCAGTTTTTAGGCACAGAGCTATTAAGGATTGTCATTTCTTCTTTTGTGAGGCCTGTCTTTACTTCTGCTAACTTTCCTTAAAAACAGTGTAGCTACTAGCTGGACAGCTATAAGCTACTAGCCATATAGCGTAAACTAATTTCATAACAAAAAATGTAGTTGTTCACGGGCTTAGAATTCAGTTTCCTGGCTTCAGGTATGGCTGCATCCAGGTGTCCAAACAAGGCTGAAGGAATGGTTTTGTTTCCTGTCCAGCCATGTTTCTCCCCTTGGAGCTAAGATGATACCCCAGAGCTCCAGCGTGGCCACCTCAAAAAAAACTCTTTCCCAGAGCCCCAGGGACACTCTCGTTGGCCCAGAGTGGGTCCTGTGTGCACCCCGACCCTGCTGAGGGGTCTGGCTCACTAAGGTTGAAGCTTGCTCCGCCTTCTTCCCAGTCAGGGAGTCAGGTTAGCCCCTGACCACGCATAGATGGGAGGGAAGTGTTCAGACTCGCTTCCTAGAGCCAAGAAACCAGTGACCACAAACTTAGTAGCTTTGAACAACAGCAATTCGTTCTTTCATTGTTCTGAAGTCCGAAATCAAGGGGGTGGTATCTCTTGTGGTTCTGCCATGAGCAGGGAGCCTCTCGGATGCCAGCGAGAGCCCTTGACTTGTACGATCCCCGCTGCCATCTTCACGCCACCTTCTCTCTGTCTCCTCTTATAAAGACACAGGTTATCCTAAGTCCAGGTTGATTTCATCTTAAGCTCCTTCACTACTAATATCTGCAAAGACTCATTTCCAAATAAGGTTATTTATATATATATATATACATTTTTTTAGTATATAACAGTTTATTTTTACATCATTTTGTACATTTTTTTTCCATCTCAATTGTAACCCCCATGGATTTCCCATCACCATGTCACCTGTGTGCCATCACCATAATCCCATGCACTTCCCTCCCCATCCCCGTTTTTGATCCCATTCCCCACTCCACCCCCACAAAATGTCTCTGGTACAAATAAGGTTATATTTTGAGGCTATATTCACGTGGATGTGAACTGGGGGGCACTTCTCCCCACTGCAGGGTGGTCCCATCAAGGGATAGCCAGGGGGCCAAATCATAAGACAGTCAGAAGGGTGGGAGGATGGGAGGATGAGGGGGACCCCCACCCAAAGCTCCACAGGGGGGCTCCTGAGGCCCCAGCTTCGCACTGACACCCCTTCTCTCCCCAGCCATCGGGCTGTTTGCATCCATGGCCACAGTGCTCCTCGGGGGGGTCCGGGCGTCCAGCCTGCTCTTCCAGAGACTTCTGTGGAATGTGGCACGGTCTCCCCTGGGATTCTTTGAGCGGACACCTGTCGGGAACCTGCTGAACCGCTTCTCCAAGGAGACAGACACGGTGGACGTGGACATCCCGGACAAGCTCCAGTCCTTGCTCCTTTATGCCTTTGGGCTCCTGGAGGTTAGCCTGGTGGTGACAGTGGCCACCCCGCTGGCTGTGGTGGCCCTCCTGCCACTGCTGCTCCTCTACGCTGGATTTCAGGTAGGGCCGGGCCCGGGAGGCTGCAGGGGCCAGTCGAGGTCACTTCCGCCAGTCCCGTTTCCAGCAAAGTCCCCAGAGGCAGAGATATGACAGCCTGTGTCTGACACGCACCTGTCTCCCAGTCAAAGTTCTTAATATGTCAAGTGCCCTGATGACAAAGCCCGGCTTCCTCTTCTCCTCCATCCTGGAAACCATGAAGGTGTTGCCTGGCCTCTAAGACTGTCAGATCAGGGTCACCATTGTCCATTGCCAGCACCAGAGGTCAGCTTAAGTTAGCTTAAACCAAAGAACAAAGTCAAGTGGCTCACGTGCCCAGGACCGTGGCTCTCCCAGGCGGCTGTGTCTGGGGTTCTCAGATGTGCTCACTGGAGCTCGTTAGAAATGCATGTTCCCGGGTCCTGCCCTAGACCTGCTGGCTCGCACACTGGGAAGGCGGGGCCCAGCAATCTGGGTTCACACAGACCCTCTGGCTCATTCCCATGCACGCTAATGTGGGGGAACCAATGGCTTAGATCTGCTTGAGCTAATGTTGCTCACACTCTCAGTCTAAGACAGGCAGGTCAGATGGCCCCCGGCCACCCTGAATCCAGGAACCCTCCCCCGGCCACTTAGCAATCACAACATGTAGAACTCTGTCTCAAGCTCACCATTCACATGTGAGTCCCACAGAAGATTTTGGAGCTTTCTGGGCATCTTATACCCCGGAGTTAATCACCATGACCAAAGAGGTAGTATCCTCTGACCGGTCAGGCTGCACCAGAGGATCACCCCCATGGGACAACTCCTCGGGGTCACCCCTCGGGGTCACCTCCATGATCAGGTGCCATGATTGAAGCACCCCCTGGAAATCAGAAACAGAGTAGAGAAAACCATGGTCCCCACCACCCTCCGCAACCATCCCAGGCCCCCTGGATTTGGGAGGGGCTCATCTATTGAGAGCGATGGACAGGTGGCTTTGACTCCAGGCCCCTAGGAATTTTGACCAGCTGCTTAATGCTCTGCCCACTGCGCGTGACACCGATGTCTCCTCGCCATTCTAGCTGGCCCTTGATGACACTTGTGCACCCCACATAATGGCTAACCACGCCTGACTTACATTCAGTCCTCCTGTCTGCTGGTTCCACGTCTCAGGATTCAGCCAACCAGTCTTTGCAGTTGGTTGAATCTGCGGATTTGGAACCTATGGACAGAAAAAAGTTGACAGGTGAGCAGAGTCACGCAATCCAAACCCATGTGTCCGAGGTCAGCTGTGCTGAGTTACTACTTGTAAAAAGCCTTGCTCGCAGCCAGGCTGAGCACATGCGTGTTGTCCTGCCTGCCAGGTGTGTACACTTTGCTACCTGACACTAAGTAGCAACACTTAATATTTGTGCATCATGATGGCTTCAGCACCTGGCCTGGAATCCTCAGGTAAACGAATGAATGTGACCTGACCAACAGCCTCCTGCACCGCTGTTGGCTTTGTTCACTCAATGACTGTCCCCAAGGGAAGCCACTGGCCTCTGAGTGGAGGATTGAGACATGTCTCCTAGGCTGGTGGCCCTTGGTACTGGTTGTACACTGGAATCATCCCGAAGACTTTTTTAACCCTAAGGCCAAGGCAACACTTTCAGAGATCCTGATTCAGCGATTCTGGGGTGGGGCATTGGAGATTTTCAAATTCCCGGAAATGGAACCCCAGAAAGGGGAGCAGCTGGCCCAAGTTCACACAACAAGCTGGTAATAGAGCCGGGTCTGCCAGCCTGAACTCCAGGCTGCCTCAGGTCCCCAGACTCACCTCTGCACCCCTGATTCTCGCCCCACCTTGTCACACCGCAGAGCCTGTATGTGGCCAGCTCATGCCAGCTCAGGCGCCTGGAGTCCGACAGACACTCGTTCGTGTGTTCCCACGTGGCTGAGACATTCCAGGGCGGGACAGTGGTCAGGGCCTTCCGGGCCCAGGGCCCCTTCGTGGCTCAGAATGACGCGCACGTGGATGAAAGCCAGAGGGTCAGTTTCCCCCGGCTGGTGGCCGACAGGTAGGAAGCATCTGGAGTAGGCAAGACCTGTACTCCATCTGTGTCCCCAGAACAAAGATGAGGCTGCACCCCAGAGGAGTAGTTAGGGCCCAGTAGGACTAGATGGAATCTGGCTTGAGGGGTCCTCAGCAATTGGCGGGCAGGAGGTAGAGATGTGAGCAAAAGGGGAAACACCTCAACACAGACAACATGGGCCTCTGTTGCCTTGCAGATAAAGCAGCTATGAGAGCATCCTTGGCTTCCTTTCAGTACTAAGCAACAAGACACAGAGTTTCAGCGTTGAAAGACATGGGTTCAGATCCCAGCTCTGCAACTTACTAGCTGGGTAGTGTCAGGCAAGCTTCACAACCTCTCTGAACCTCATTTGTCAAAATTGAATCGCACTTATGGACTGGTCATGAGGGCTAAATAAATCACTCAAAACGAATGCTTATAATGTGCTGACTCCATGCCCAGCACTCTTCTGAGACTTGTACATGGATTAATTTATTTAATCCTATTAACAACCCACAAAGCAGACACTGTTCTATAGAGGATGAATCTTAGGCACAGAGAGATGTAGAAAGTGCCAAGGTCACACAGCAAATACGTGATGGAGTGAAGATCTGAATCCAGGCAGTCGGGTGCCTGGAAAGAGTGGAGCACACAGTAGGTACTTGGCACACGTGAAGGCCTTACTCCTGTCTGCTCCAATCTCTCGCCAGCTGGGACTATTCAGCCTTATTGCTGTGGGTAGCGTCTCAGTCCCACATGCCTACTGGGTGAGCTGCCCTGCGCCTTCTGGAGTCCTGACCTTGGGAAGAAGGACCTATGGGTATTTACTAATACCCACAGTGGGCAAGACCCGATGATTCCTAGATGAATATGGTGTATCTCATTTAATCCTCGCAACTTTAATGAGCCACTGTTTAGTTGATTCTATACATGGGTACACCCAGGTTCAAAGACATGGAGGGACTTCCCCAAGAGCTTTGTTAGTTAGCTGGTTCTTGGACAAGCACTACTTCTTGGGAAAGGTGCATGCTTACTGGAATCAGTCAAGATAATGAATGGATTTGACAATCAGGAGTGGATGTTATAGCCCAGAGCTTTCTGAAGACAGTCATTTTTGTGTTTGGTTCAAGATTTTGTCTCCAGCATCTCAAACATACACAGCACACAGTAGGTGCTCAGTAAGTATTTGTTGAATAAGTGAGTGAATAAATGGTAGAGTAGTGTTAAAGGTGTCCTAAAGGAACTCCAGTTGAAAGGATGCATTCTTTTTCATCCATTAAATAACTATTTGCTGAGCACCTACTGTGTGCTGGGCCTGGTGCTAGGTGCTGGAGCTGAGCCATGAATGAGACAACATAGCCAACCTCAGGGAACTCACAGTCCACTGTAGGAGCCCGATGGTCAAGAACTGATCAAACAATTCAGTTATAAACTGTGACACCTGCTATGAAGGAAGTTAGTTGCAATACATAAGACAGAAAAGAGAGGAGCAATCAGGGAGGGCTCTCGGAAGAGGTGATGTTAGAGCTGACGTACATAAAATAAAGATGTTGGTCAGGTGAAGAAAGATCAGGCTCTGGCAGAGAAAACACAAGGGCACAGAATTGACACAGCAAATGGGCAGCAGAGCAAAGCTTCACTCAAGCACCTACTGTGTGCTAGTCTCGGCACTGGGCACTGCTGACATAGGCGGTAGGTGCCTCTCCACCCCCCGGGCTTTGTGGGGTCTGGGTACGAAAACCGCTGTGGGGACTCCCTGGGCGCTGGGGCTGACAGTTTATAACTGAATTGTTTGACCAGTTCTTGACCATCGGGCTCCTACAGTGGACTGTGAGTTCCCTGAGGTTGGCAATATTGTCTCATTCATGGCTCAGCTCCAGCACCTAGCACCAGGCCCAGCACACAGTAGGTGCTCAACAAATAGTTATTTAATGGATGAAAAAGAATGCATCCTTTCAACTGGAGTTCCTTTAGGACGCCTTTAACACTCTACCATTTATTCACTCACTCATTCAACAAACACGATGCCCTGTCCTTGTACCCATAGAAGTGGGTCCCTTCAATGAGGACTCCATGCTGATCCCCCTGTTCCCGGCCTCCCCTAAAGGTGGCTCGCTGCCAACCTGGAGCTCCTGGGAAACGGGCTGGTGTTTGCGGCTGCCGTGTGCTCTGTGCTGAGCAGGGCCCGTCTCAGCGCCGGCCTCGTGGGCTTCTCAGTCTCTGCTGCCCTCCAGGTATTCCTGATCCCCCCGGGGGCCGGGGCACCGGCACAACCGTGACGGGCTGGTGCAAACCCGCAGGTGGCTTGCTGAATCTGCTCCGTTGCCAGGTGACCCAGACGCTGCAGTGGGCTGTTCGAAGCTGGACAGACCTGGAGAACAACATCGTGTCAGTGGAGCGGATGAATGACTACACCCGCACGCCCAAGGAGGTGATGTGCGGGAGGTGGGGCAGGGGCGGGCCCCTCTGAGACTCAGCAGAGGCAGTGGCCCGGGGCCACGGGGGCTTCGATGACCCCACGCCTGTGGGCCAGAGTCACAGCCAGATGACAGTGGTGGCTGAGTGTGGGGTCTGGAGCAAGGTCAACTCCGGCCTGGTTCCTTCGCTTGGGAAAGGCGGCTCACTCTGGGTGACAAGGGACCGTAAGGAACAGCAGATCCACAGCAGGTAGCAGCCACATGATAGCAACACGGTAGAAATATAACAGCAGAAGTAAATGAATGTGCCCATTTCACAGAGATGATAACTGAGGCACTGTGCTGGGAGGTGCTGGGAAGCTCCTTTGACACAGTGTCCCCTCCTGCCTCAGGCACCCTGGAGGCTGTCCACCTGTGCAGCCCGGTCCCCCTGGCCTCACGGGGGACAGATTGAGTTCAGGGACCTGGGACTGAGATACCACCCTGAGCTCCCGCTGGCTGTGAGGGGTGTGTCCTTTGAAATCCACGCGGGGGAGAAGGTGAGTGGCTCTCCTACAACTTCCCCTGCGGCCGGGAGGACAGGCTGCAGGGCACCAGAGGGCCCTCAGGGTCACGGCCAGGCTGGGCAGCATCCCAGTGTCCAGGCCCTAAGCACCAGCGGCCTCCAGCACCGTGGTCTCCTTGTCTTCATTGCGCCCTAAGTTGGACTTAGCATCTTCCCAAGTCTGCATTCTTACCCTCCGTCTCCTCAGCTGTCACTGGGAGTGATGGCAATTCGGAGGGCTGTGAAGTTTACCTGGGTTAAATCGCCTGGCATAGCGATCCTTATTTGCGTCTTCACTCTGCCTTGGACTCTGCCACCAGCCCCGTAAGGAAGGGACCAGTATGGGGGGCACCCGGCAGGGTGGTCGGGGGTGTGACACCCTCCTCCTCGCACCCCATCCCCCTCCCATCCATGACTGGCACTTCCCTGCTCCACCGCTGCAGTCTGGAGCTTGATTCTAGCAAGCGCTTGTTCTTCACCATATGTTAGAATTTGGTTTACTCAGTTTTATGATTCCAGGGCCAGAGGGTGAGGCTTTTGGAGCAGGAACTCTGAATTCTGTATCTTGGAGCCTCGGTGCCTCACGCAATGGCCTAACACTCTGTCTCCCCGTTTGTTCATTAAGCAAACAATGTTGAGCCCCTCCTTCAGGGTCAGACACTGGGGCAACTGAGTAAGAGAGTTGGGTGGGGCTGAGGGCGGGACTGGAAAGGGTGGGACAGGGATGGGGGGGTGGGGCTGGGTGGAAGGGTCAGACTGGAGGGGGGTAAGGGGTGCCCGGGTGGGGTATGGTCAGGGACAAATGGCTGGAGCAGTGCCTGGGTGGGGGGGGGAGAAAAGGAGGGAAGGAGAGGAGGCGGCTGGAAGGAAGTTGGAAGTGCGGAGGGGGAGGAGTGGGCAGCAGCAATGACAGGCCAGAGGCAGAGGGATGGCTGGGGGACGCAGGCGGGCAGTGGATGGCAGAAGCGGAGAGAAGCAGAAGGCTGGCGCAGGGTGATGAAGGGTGGCGAGGGAAAGGGAACAAATGAAGGGCAGAGGTCAGAGGAAGCCGGGGTGTAATGGAGAGATGGCAGAGAGGTAGGGTGAGGGGGGCCTGAGACTGCGCGGAAGGGAGACAGATGGACCGACGCTTGGAGAGATGGAAGGATGCGGATGGATGGGCAGATCCGGCCGCAGAGGAAACCTCTCGCGTCCCAAGGACTCTCGGGGCGGTGGCCCGAGGCCTGGTCGGCACAGGCCTTGCCCTCCCCGGCAGGTGGGCATCGTTGGCAGGACAGGCGCGGGGAAGTCGTCCCTGGCCGGGGGCCTGCTGCGGCTCGTGGAGGCGGCGGAGGGCGGGGTCTGGATCGACGGGGTCCCCATCGCCCACGTGGGCCTGCACACCCTGCGCTCCAGGATCACGATCATCCCCCAGGTGAGCCCGGGCAGGGCAGGGCGGGCGGCGGGAGCGGGTGGCTGGCCGGCTCTGACCTGCCTCTCCCGGCCAGGACCCCATCCTGTTCCCCGGCTCCCTGCGGATGAACCTGGACATGCTGCAGGAGCACTCGGACGACGCGCTCTGGGCAGCCCTGGAGACCGTGCGCCTCCGCGCCCTGGTGGACGGCCTGCCCGGCCGGCTGCAATACGAGTGCGCTGACCAGGGCGGTGACCTGAGGTAGGGCTTCGCACTCAGGACCTGGGGGCGCAGGGAGGAGAGGCAGGGGCGCCTCCCGGAGCCTGGCCCCTGGGTTTACCCACCCCGCACAGTTAAGCATTGTGGACTTCCCTCCTACCAGCAACCCCGAACTCCAGCACCGCTGGAATATCAAGTTTCCTTACCCTAAATTTAGTTCTGGGATGATCTGGTGGCAAATCCCAACCTCAGTGGACACAGGCCCCAAGTGCCGCGCTGAGTGCTTCTAGAAGGCTTGTCTCCTGCTCACAGCCCCCAAGGACTGGGTACAGTGAGCAACCCGCATCCTGGTGTCGCTCTGAGCTCAGCCCCTACATATGCGGCTGGCCCGTGCCGGAGACCACCACTGGCTGGAAACAGAAAATAGAAATAGTCGTTCCACAGGTGGGGAAACTGAGGCACAGGGGGTTTGGGCGACTCGTCTAAAATTCAGTCACCCTGATGAAAATGTCAGGCTGGGGATTCTTCCCACTCTGTAGACGGGGGACCCCACATTCGGGGATATGTCCGCATGCACCACTACCTCTGAGGCTGTCCCGGGGACCCATGGGGAGCCAGGCCCTACAGAGCCTGGTGAGATGCACACAAATGTGCTCCCGTCTGCCACTCGTTCCCAGCGTGGGCCAGAGGCAGCTCCTGTGTCTGGCACGTGCCCTCCTCCGGAAAACCCAGATCCTCATCCTGGACGAGGCCACGGCCGCCGTGGACCCGGGCACGGAGCTCCAGATGCAGGTGGCCCTGGGGAGCTGGTTCGCCCAGTGCACCGTGCTGCTCATTGCTCACCGCCTGCGCTCCGTGATGGGCTGCTCCAGGTAAGCCCCGCCCCTGAGCCAGCCAGCGCCCCTGCCACGAGGCGGCAGGGTTGAGAGCTGGAAGGGTGCTGGGATGGACCAAGGGCCCCTGTGCAGGTGGCGAGCCTGGTGCCCAGAAGGGTCAAGCCAAAGACGCAAGCCCGGCAGACGCTTCCAAGCTGGCTGGAGGGTCGGGGAAGCCCCCTTAGAGCAGGCATTTGGGCCCCCTAAATTGCTATGGGCCGGACTGGTGTCCACAGAACTGCCCGTTTCCCTCTCTCTGCAGGGTGCTGGTCATGGACAAGGGGCAGGTGGCAGAGAGCGGCAGCCCGGCCCAGCTGCTGGCCCAGAAGGGCCTCTTTTACAGGCTGGCACAGGAGTCAGGCCTGGTCTGAGCCGGCCTCCTGCCCCCGCTCCTGCCAGCTGCCGAGCCGCAGGGATGGCCTTGCCCTGGAGTTCTGTGCCGCCCACTCATCGTTGCCGCCATGGTGCTCGGGCTGGACCCGGCTCTGCAGTCCGGGAGGAAAGCAGAGAAAGCCGCCGTTATCTCAGGCCCAGGACCACACAGCAAGCCCCGGGCTGGGCCGGTCAGGGCTCGTCTGGAGCCCGAGTGGCAGTGGCCCTAAGCTCTGGCCACCCACTGGACTCCCCTAGGGACCTCAGATAGGGGCCCACACCCAGGGCCCCCCGCAGACCCATGAAATCTGAATCCTGGGGGCAGGAGCTGGGGCTGTGGTGTACTTGTTACAAATTTACCCTTTATTTTGAGGTGCTTATAAACGGACAAGCAGTCAGAACCACCCAGGATCTGGCGCGGTACCTACTGCCCCACCCCCGCGGTCGCGTCAAGCCGGGGTGCAGGGCCGCAGCCATGGCACTGGTGCCACCCACCGGTGTTCAGCACCCTGGGCTTAGCAGCTCAGCAACTCTGAGGCCTGGGCGACTTGGCGCCTCGGCCCAGGGCCTGGAACGAAGGTCGGGGTCCCAGATCCAAGAATCCAGGGCTCTCGGGTGTGCTTTGTGTCCACCCTCCAGAGGTGGCACACCCCGGGAATCCACCTCCTCCTGGAGCTGCCACGGAAGAATAAGTGTGTGGGCGAGGGTGTGGCCTTGGCCTCAGAGGGGCCTGTAAGGAGTAACAGCAGGGTGCGGGGGTTGGGGGGGGCTTGCTGGAGGAGGAGCCTGTCAGAGTTGAGAGGCAGGCCGGCACCCGGGGGTCACCATGAAGGAACCGCCCCAAAGCTTATTATTATGGGATCACTACAGCTGGTGGGTCAAGACCGGACTGCCTGGCGTTGGGGGCTCACAGGGGCAGAAACAGGGGCGTGGGGGCTCTGGGGACACCAGCAGCGAGAGCTGTTGGGGCTGAGAGCAGAGTGCGGGATAAGAATCTGCCTCAAGCGGATGCGGGGTGTGAGAATGAAGAATAGACAAGCAGCCGGAGCATCAGGTTCGGCTCCTCCCTGCCCAGAGGACCCCTCCCCTTCCCCCACCCCCCCAAACCCCCCCCCATGTGCGAAGCACTAAGCCCTGGGCTGGCACACAGCCAAGCTGACCACCTGTCCCCCCCCCACGCTTTCTCCTTCCATGGCCCTAAAGCACCGACCGGCTCCCCCCATCTCAGTGCTTCTGGCTCCACCCTCTTCAGGGCTGATGTGGCACCCCCACCTCGTCACAGGGTCCCCCACTTCCTCCCGAGTCCCCAGCCTCCTAGCACATGCCCACCAGTGGTGGACTCAGAGACCTGTTAGGTTCTGACATGGGATTTTAAAACTCGAGGTCAGGTTCTGAGGCAGAAGCATGTCTCACATCTACAGCGGACTCTTCTGCACCAAAAAAATAAAGTAAAAGGGACTCCCCCCCTGACACCAGGTCCTAGCCAGCCCCTGTGGCCCCGCGGGCCAGGTTCCAGGACGCCCAGATACCGCGTCTGCAGTGCTACTGGCCTCTGTCTGTGCCCACCCTTCCACGGCCACCGTAACCCCACGCTGCTTGGGGGACGATGACCAGAGTAGGTCCATACGTTTTCTGTACAGACGCAATCACCGTGGGCCCGACCGGGCAGTACAGGTCAAGTGTGAGGTTGGTGGAACTGCAGGGTTGGCAGCGGGTGGGGAAGTGGGGGCTCTGTGGCCTCCTCGTGACGCTGCCCACGCCCGCCACGCCTCGAGAGCACCTTCCCGCGTCACGGTCCCCAAGGTAAGACAATGGTCTCAATAGGGACAGTGATGTTGGAGGGAGTGTTCCATCTGTAGGTCCTAAGTGCATGGTTTTGGGGTGCAACAGATATGACATGCTCCCCAAATACAGGCGTTCCTCATTCTCCACTTACCTGATTCAAACTCAGAAGCCCCACACCCGTCTCATTTCCTACCACCCCAAACTCACAGATACCATCAGCTGGCACAGGGAGCTACTTCCGTAGCCTGCACCCCTGCAACCCAGCTTCCTTTGTGGCTTATCCAGGACCATGTGATTGGTTCTGGCCAGTGGGCCAAGTGGGACTGACTTGTGTCCCTTCCGATTTGGGGTACGTCAGGGGGGATATGTTGACCGAGATCTCCCTTCCTGGGGTGACCTGGAAGCCAGCCCTGAGCGGAGATACCAGAGCCCCGAAGAGTCTGGATTTCCTGTTCCTCGTACAGAAGAGGCGTGCTAACCTGCATCAGGAAACTCGCCCTCGTGTTCACCCCTGGAGCTCTCGGCGACGTGATTGCTGCTGCTGGAACGAGCCTGCCGACAAGGGGCCGGTCACGGGGCATCTGCCCACATGATTTCTGACCTGTTAGTGTGGCAGGGTCTGACCAGATCTGCCCGCGCCACGCACGTCACTGTTCGTCTTCACAGGAACCCCAAAGGCAGCTGGCAGACGAGGCAGCTGAGGCAGAGAGCAAATGACCTGCCCAGGGTCACACGGCCCACAAATGACGGGCCGGGACTCGAGCCTGGGCTGTGAGCAGAGCCCAGGTTCCGGCTCCCCTTTCTCGGGACACCACGTTGGCCAGGAGGAAGGAGTGCCCCCTGGCTGCAGGGAGAGGGCTGGCACCCCCGCTCAAGACCCACAGAAAGCAGAACAGTCGTTTAGAAAGAAATAGAACTTTTCTTTTACTGCAAATTATTTGCAAGTGTTCACGTTTCCAGTGTAAGTCATTACAAAAAGATCCCCAAGAAAAACTTGGTTTCCCTAATGTGAAAGAATGGTATAACTTACAAAAAATAAATATGTATTCCCACCTAAAAGACGCTCTCGGGCCCTGACCTGTGTCGCTCACAGCGGGCGAGTGTCCCGGGCAGCAGCGAGAGCTCTGCCTTCAGTCTCACTTTGTCTCTGACCAGGAGACCCCGGTTCGCTTCCGGGAACACCCCACCAGTGGTCAGACACTGCTGACTTGGCGGTCCCCTGGAACGACGCTCTTTGCCCCAAACTTCCTCCCAAGAAAGTAAAATCTGGAGACTTTTTCTCCCTAGAGCAGTATGTAAAAAGAGAGAAAGGAAAAAAAAAATCACTGGTATTCATGAGTGGGTTCTTTGTTCTCTGCTTGTCCTGAAAGACACTCGGTAACTCAACGTCCAGTTCTCCACACCATCACCTTGACAGCGAACCAGATGCCAAGGGGGAGAATCGAAATCCAAAAGTGAGAAGAGGCGACAGGCTCTCCCCCGCGCGACTGGCCGTTCTCGGGAGGCACCGGCGTCTTTGGCTTTGGACGCTCCATGGCCACCAGCAGCTCTTCTCACTCAGCTCCCAGAGGCGTAAACCGAGTCTAGCAGTGGGGGACGGGGCAGGGAGGCAGCGAGGAAGACTGGCGCAGGCCGGGAGGTGAGCGGGTGGGCAGGTGTCATGAGCGAGGCTCTGCCCCCGCTCCGGCCCAGCCCCCTGTGCGGCCCAGGCCTGCCCACGAGCAGCACGGAGTAGCTGGCCCGGCCCGGGCAGCCACTCCAGGGGCAGGCGGAGCTGGGGCGTGGGCTCTTGAGTCCGAGCGGAAGACAGGTGGGTGCAAGAGGCATGCCGTGACCCTGCAGGCACAGCCCAGGGAGGGTGAGCTCCTCCAGGCCTCACCTCAAACCTCAAACTGCACCCCGGGGAAAGAGCCCTGGGGAGTCAGACAAAGAGGGAGACGTGCTGACGGGGCTGGGGAGCCTCGAAGGCTTCGGCTGGAGAGATCTGAGGCAGTTGGCTGGTTTTGGCCACTGGGATATTTTACGCAGCCGATTCTCTGGAGGTCGGCTGCCGACCCCTTCTCCGAGAGCACCGAGCCACAGCACAGCTCCCTGGAGACGAGGACACGTGTGCTTGTGGGAGCGACTGCGGGCGGGGGTGGGGTTGAGTGGGCTGCTTGTTGCAGCTAATTCAAGGCAGGGGACCAGATGGTGGCTGTGTTGTGTTTTGGTGTTTGGTTTTTGGTTTCGGTTTCTGTACTGGAGGTCTGGGTGGCCTGGGGCTGAGTCATGCCTGGACGCCTGCGTGCTGGCCCTGCGGTTTCAACCAGATGCACCAGCTCCGGGGTTCACACCAAGCCAGCGTCTTTGGCCATGCTGTAGAAGAGACCTCTCCGCTGCAGGAGGTCAGAGGGGGGGCCGTACTCCCGAATTTCTCCTTTGTCCAGGACGATCACCCTGCAAGGGAGCAAAGGGATGCAGAGTGAGGGGCAAAGGGGGGTTTGTTGGCAACTCATGGCCCCCGAGAACCTGCTGGCTAAGTCACAGCGCTGGGCCGGCCCCAACTCCTGCCAGGGCTCTGGCAGCCACCCTCAACCCCAGACCTGGTCAGTGTCAAAGTCCTGTGACTTCACCCCCAGGACTTGCTATTCGATCATCTTGAAGTCCGGGAAAGGTATACTTTTCCTTATTGTTGTGTCCACTGCCTCCCTCCATCTCGCACACCCCCGAGTCCCTGTGCAGGCGCCTCATCTGACGGGCGCCCTCCTCAGGGCGCGGAGCAGTGCCAGAACTGCAGCGGGCACCCCACACCTCTGCACTGACGGGCGGTGATCGAGCCGTGTCAGAAATGCCCAGTACTACCTGGACATGAGACTCCCCCAGCTGGGCTGTCCCGAGGCACAGGGTGGTACTGAACGGATGAACAACGGGCCCTGGGGTGGACCCGAGTTCTGGGGGCCTCCGTGCGTCACCTTGTGTAGTCCATGATGGTGTTGAGCCGGTGAGCGATGGTGAGGACTGTGCAGCCTTCGAACTGTGTCCGGATGGTGGACTGGATGAGGTCATCCGTCTCCAGGTCCACCGCCGCCGTGGCCTCGTCCAACACCAGGATCTTCGTCTTCCTCAACAGGGCCCGGGCCAGACACACGAGCTGGCGCTGCCCGACGCTGCATTGGGAGAAAAAGTCAAGGACACACCGTCAGAGCCCAGGCTGAGACAGCCGGTCTGCGGCAGAGCTGGACTCAAGTCCAGGCCTGGCACAGAGGAGGCTTCGCCGGCGCTGACCCTGCCCACCTCAGGTTCTCCCCGCCTTCCGCACACTCGTGGTTCAGCTTATCCGGGAGGGTAGACACGAAGTCCTTCAGGTGAGCCAGCTCCAGCGACGTCCAGACTTCTTCATCCGAGTACTGGCCGAACGGGTCCAAGTTCATGCGGAGGGAACCCGAAAACAAGACGGGGTCCTGTGCAGAGAGAGGACAGCAAAGCGCAGGTGAGGCGCCCTGCGAGACATGGGCCGGAAAGGGCGTCTTGCAGGCTGCTGAGCCGGGGGTCCGGAGTGCCGCAGGAGCACTATCAGTGATTAAAAAAAAAGTCTGGGAGCCCTAAGCAGAGTAAGGCCTTCCGTGGGTGACACCCTGGGAGCCTGCAGCCTGCAGGCCCTCGCTGTGGGGAGTGTGGGTGCACCCTGGCCCTGCCTGCAGAGGGATCTCACACTCAGGGAAAACCACACCAAAGGCCACATGTTGGGGCTTCGGCACCCCAGGGCCGCAGGCCAGAAGCTGCCTCCTGCCTGGCCCCCGCGTGGCCGGAGATGCCCGTCCCGACCTGTAGCCACGGAGGCCGGTGTCTCCTGCCGCCCGGGAAGCTGCCCCATGGGGTGGCAGGAGGGCAGAGTGCCCTGGCTACTGCCCACGCCATTTCTATGCTAAAAGGAGACTGAAGAAACACAGCAGAATGTTGATGACTGAAACAATGCAGGACTCCACGTGTGTCCTGGAAAGGCAGCGCACCCCAGCCCGGCACCCGCCCCGGGCCCCACCTGCGGGATGATGGTGATCTTGAAGCGGAGGTCATGCAGGCCAATCTTGGCGATGTTGACGTTGTCGACGATGATCTCGCCTTGGGCAGACTCGTTGATCCGGAACAAGCCCAGCGTCAGGGAGGATTTCCCAGCTCCTGTCCGGCCCACGATACCAACCTGTGGGAGGCGTGGGCCCGGATGAGGTGCACATGCTGAAGCTGGGCGCCACCACCTGCCCCTGGGGCTCTCATTCAGGTCTGTGCCTCAGAGCAGTTCAGTCATCCGGCTGACCCAACCCCCTGTAGCTTCTGCCCACCGGCTTCCCAGAGTCGCCCTGGCCAAGAGTCGAGGACTCCCTTCTCTCGATCAGCTCTTCTTGTAAGTTAAACTGAGGATCAGTCTGTTATAAGTTGGTCGAGAACCTCCAAAAGACAGGAATCAGGCAAAAGGGATTTTCAACAAACCCTACTATTTTCAACTGCAGACATTTCCCTCACCCCGTCATCCAGGTGACTTTCCCACCCCGAGCTGCTGATACAGCCCCAAGATTCAAGCTGACCCCTGGACTCTTCCCTCTTGCCCCGCAGCCGAGGTCCAGGTTAGGCAAATGACCTGGTCCCCACTTGGCCTCCACTGAGAGATCTGGACTCCCTGACTAGTGGCGGGTGCTTGCCCTGCTGACAACCAGCGCCCCCCTCGGCATCTGGGCTTGAGCGGCAGCTTCCTCCAGGCCCCACACGGCTGCTGCAGAGCCCAGTGCTGCAAGCCAGAGCCGCAGTGAGGAGGCCACCCACTCTGCTCCCCACCCCGCTGCCAAGTTAGCTCAAGTTATCTCACGGGAACGTAAGGACGGGTTAACAAATCCTTATGTTCAAAGATGAAAAAGAGCCTTGGCCCCTGGCAGAGGGCCGAAAGACCCTTGCTGACTCCTGAAAAGGATCCCAAGGCCCAGGGCAGCGTTCCAACTGTCCCAGTGACAATTTCACAAGTCCCTTGAGCCATCCCTGGCACGATGGGAACATCTTTCTATTCTCGACCTTGCAAACTGGGCTGCCCACAAGGGCCAAGCAGGCTTAACACTGAGTGAGGAGGGGCGGGGTGCGCTGGGAGGCTCACGTCTTGCTACGAGGAGCCGGACGGACACGCCGTGTGGCTGGATGTTCTGATCTTTCAAGAGCAGGAAATGGATTTTTATATAAAAAGACCCAACAAGCCCCTCCAGAGACGGCTGCTCCACTCCCTGGTATGGTGCCAGGACGGAGGGTGAAATAAGAGGCTGGTTTCGCCCGCCCGATGGCACAAGGCCCTGACGGGGGACGATGTGCACCCACCTTCTCCCCACCATCAATCGTGACGTTGATGTGCTTGAGAACCAAGTCCAGGTCCTCGCGATAGCGCAGGCCGTAGTCCCGGAATTCTACCTGGCCCACCTGGGGCCAGTTGCTGGGGGGGGCCGTCGCCTGGTTGCGCCATGGAGCCTGAAATCACAGGGGGCGGTGGGGAGAGCTGGGGCTAAGGGTGCTGATGCCCACCTTCCGTGCCCCGGGCTCTGTGAGTGGGCCCTGACACCCCACACCCTCTCGCCCCTTTGCTCCCCAACTGACCTCCAGCTACCCCAGGCCTTCTCACTGGAGACTTGTGCCTGAGCCACTCTTGCCCAGGCTATCAGGGGCCCGCTGCTCACACCCCGAGGCCTCAGTCAGTCCGGATCGTGCCCCCCCAGCTTCTGCCCTGCCCCCCCAAACCGTGCATCCTCCACTTTCCACCTTCCGCACTCTAAAAGCACCTCTGCTTACTCTTCCCCGAGTGCCCACTGGCACGGTCATTCCCTGAGGAATTAATGGGCAAATGAATGAGCGGTCTTCTCAAGACAGAGGACGTGCCAGCCTTCTAGCCAAAAACACCTGGTGCTGTCTGGCACCAGCCAAAACGGCAGCGGACCCTGAGAGCTCACTGCTCACCTCACTGGATCCCACTACGACCCCACGAGTACAGGCCCCGCCCTCCACCAGCCCCAGTCAGACACAGAAGCAGACACGGATCGCACAGCCCACACGGTGTCTTCTCAGGCGAGCTCAGCTTTTCCCGAGGTCTAGGGCCAGCCCGGGACCAGGCTTGGGGACTGCAGCCCAGAGCCACTATGTACTGCAGGGCGGGCGCACGCAGACCCCCAGCCTGGCTGCAGAGCGCGGTGCACATGTCGGGAGCACAGAGGGGCAAACTGGAAGGGTCACCCCGCAGGCAAAAGCCTGACCTCATTCCGGAAGCTAACACAGGGCTCTGGCTGAGCGCGTCAAGGCTGGGAGCACAGTGCGGAGTGCCGTGCTGGGGCTGTCCTTTGGGTCCCCGCGCCCTGGGAGAGAGGCTGCAGTCACACGGGCACATGGAGACGCCTCGGCTCCAGTGTAGGTAAAGAGTCGGGGCCCCGGGGCCTCCCTGGTGGCACAGGGGTTAAAGCGTAGCACTAGGAAGCCAGCCGCAGCCACTTCAGTGCGAGTTCCAGCCCCGCCAGGGAGCTGACCCACAGGGCGCGGCAGTCCCAGCCCGGCCAGGGAGCTGACCCACAGGGCGCGGCAGTTCCAGCCCAGCCAGGGAGCTGACCCACAGGGTGCGGCAGGCCTCTCCCGTCTCCCCTGCCGCTCCCCTCGGCAGTGAACTTCGTCAGTCAGCCCGTTCTGCTCCCTCCTCTGTCCCTGGTGATTCCTTTCACTGCCCCTGCACCTCTGGTGTGTACCCCAGTTCTGTATGCATAAAAAAAAATAACAGAGTAAGGGGACCCTAAGGCGGCTGGTGCCACCTTAGCTTAAAAGGAAAAAAGTTAGGACAGAGATGTGCATGGGTTTGAGGTAATATAAGTGTATGAACATGCTCAGGAAGGGGCGGGGAAGAGCAGGGATTGTCTTGGGGACAGTAAGGGGATGTTCATTCTTTCTCCCCGTAAAGTCCTTGATAAATTTTCTTTCAACAAGCGTATTTCCCTTACACATACATAAACAAAGCGGACACACTGTAAGAGCGTAGGACTGGAGAGAAGGGCTGGGTTGTGAGCGTGATAGATAAATAATTATATAACTTTAGCTATGGGAGGCGCCTGGGGATCTTTCTTTTGCTTCTTTCAAGTATGCTTTGATTATAAAAATATAAAATTGATTGAATTAAAAAAAAATTGAAGTTCCTACTTAAAATGGATGAATTGCATGATGTGTGAATTCTATGTCAAAAGTCGTAATAAGAAAGAAAGTCAGGGCAGAGTACAGACCCCCTGGGCAGTGCACTCTTGTCTCCTGGGGGGCCCACTCCACCTGGACAGTGCTCCCCCAGCTGCGGAGCTGGCCCAGGGCGCTGAGGGTGGGGGGCAGAGGGCATCGCCACAGATCCCTCACACGGAGCTGCAGTGGGCCACTCACTTCCAAGGCGTCTTCTGGGGAGCCAGTAGGGCCCAGGGCACAGAACCCACCCGGGGCTGTCACTTGTAGTTGTTATGACGCTGGCAAGTGACTGACCGGTCTCTGCTTCCTCCTCTACAAGGAGGGCTAAGAACACAGCGTGAGCTGTAAGGCCACAGCAAGTGGACTGTGTCACGTCCAACGTGTGTCCCTGTGACAGCCAGGACAGGGTGGCTCGGGCACTAGTGAGACATCAGTCCTGTCACTTACTCCTGAGGTGGTGGAGCTGGGGGCCTGCAGCTAGAATGAGGCAGCTCTGACGGGCCACCTGGCACGGAAGCAGGGCTGCGGGTCCCACCGAGCACACGTGGCGGGGGCCTGTCATCCCCCCTCCCTTTTCTTCCACCTACAAGCGGGCCTTGGGCTAAGGAACCACTGGGTTTCCCAAATTTTGGTCAATTCCTTACCAGTCTGACTTCTGCATCTCCAAGCACTGATTCTCTTGTCATTACTGACTTTAAATCAACTTGCTGGTACTTAATGTTAAACTTACTCACAGGAGAAATTTGTCTCATCTTGCATAATAGAACCCCCCATAAACTTACCCAACAAATAACAGAAGACTTTTTCCTAGCTAGCTGTTGCCTGTCAGAGGCTTTGAGCCCGAGAGCCACCTGAGTCTGCTGAAGGCTGTTCCTGTGCCAGTGAGCACCGGCCAGCACCACTGTCTGGGATGCCATCTGAGCGCAGGCAGGCAGGCAAGTCAGAGGCGGGAAACACCCTCCCCACTGCCGAAATACGCCAGCGCACAGTCACGCTGTATCCGGGCATCCCCGACCGTGGGGAAAGCCGGGTAACTGTCACCTGCTTTCTCTCCCTAAAGCCAGTGATTCTAAGCAGGGGCGGCCGTGTGAGACCCTGGTAGGGTCTCCAACTTACCCTCCTGACTGGAGGCAGAGCACAGACATGTCTGGCTCAGAGCATTCTTTGGGGTAAAGCAACGTGAAGATCAAGGCCAAGAGGTCAGGCCGGGGCTCGCTTTACCTCCTTCTCAGTTTCTGAGTACTCCTTGAGTCTCTCCACCGCCACGATGTTGGTCTCCATCTCAGAAGACATCCGAACAAGCCAGTTCAAGTAGGATGTGATCTGCAAGTGAAAGAGTCACAGGGAACTCTGGAGTGAGCGCGAGCTACTGTATGTCAGTGAGGGAACTACGAATGCGAGAGTCTTCGGACACGGCGGGGTAGAGCTAGCCTGCATGTAGCCGTCACCCAGCTTTGCTGCATTCCACCTCTTTAGCACTTCAAAACACCCCATGGGCCCAAGCAGTCAGAAAGGAAACTGGAAGTGCTTGAGCCTGATGACAGTGGGAAAACATAATGTTCCAAGAGTTGGGAGATGCTAAAGCCACTGGTCGCATTAAAGCTAGGCATGTATAAAAGCATCTCTTGGGTTGGAGGACTTTCCCTGATTGACAGGAGAACCCCAGCCGCGTGTCTGAGTTCTCTCCTGTGCCAGTCACTCTCTGAGCTCCAGATCAGCTCCCCAAACGCCACTTGGCCCCTTTCCTCAACCTGCTCCCACAGGGATTCAAAGCAACAGCCCAAGCTGACAGCTGGTTCTCCTGTTGACTAAAAGACCGAGAAAGAACTTGCCTCTTACCTGCAAAGAGTAGGACACCGAGAGGCCCACCAAGCCCGGACTGAGATTGTCCCGGAAGATCACGGCAAACAGGGCTGCAAACAGGACGATGCAGTTGCCCACACATTCCAGCCGCACCGCAAGCCACCTGCACAGAGACAGAGGCAGATGACGGCCGGCCGGAGGGGGCCACACACAATGGCTGGCTCAGGGTGGGGGAGGCAGGGGCACCTGGCTAAGGGTAGTGACTCCCCGGCCCTCTTCACGCGACATGGGTGGGGAAAGAGGTCCGAGGGGCAGGATTTCAGTAATTCCTGGCCAGCTGGGCTACCCCAGGGTGGAGAGCTTGGAAGCGATGTTCCCAGGAGCCCGAGGCCCTTCTTAACAACTTTCTCGCTGAAACCTTCTGGAAAAAACCCGTGTATGCATCTTTAAAAGAGATGTCCCAGGAAATTCCTAAGTAGGAGAGTCTTCAATTGGAAGAGGCTTTAAAATAGCCTCCTCTCAGCAGGACAGAAGTGGGGGTGAGAACGAAACTGCCATGGAGATGTTGCTGTGACAGGAGCGTCACCTTATAGTATCTTTTAGAATGCAAACAGAGGCCCTCCCTGGTGGCCCAGCGAGTTAGAGCACAGCACTAAGAAGCTCAAGCCATTTCAGCATGAGTTCGATCCCCACCCCGAGGTGACCCCCATGGCACGGCAGACCTCTCCTGACCCGCCCACTGCTCCCCTCAGCTGTGTACTTCGTCAGTCGGCCTGTTCTGCTCCCCACTCTGTCTCTGGTGAATCCTCTCACCGCCCCTGCACCTCTGGCCTGTACCCCAGTTCTGCATGCATAAATAAATAAGTCTTTAAAAAAAATGCCAGCAGATGATTTCACTGGTGTGGAGCTGACTCTGAGAGCATTCACAAAGCCATTTTCACGCTCTCCAAGGCATTACAGGGGAATGGTACTGTCAACACCAAAAGTCCATGTGATTGGTCTTCTTGAGTGCAAGCTACTCCTGCACAAGGGCCCCCTAAATTCTGCAAGAGTAGGCAAGGACTCCGTAATTTGGCTCCCCCACATTCAGCCTCATGCTAGGGTCACTTCCAGGGTACAATTACCCCTCCTCCCAGTTTTCTAGTCCATGTCTCCAAAAACGTGTCAGGATGCAAGCAAGAGAGGACACTGGGGCATAAGTGAGCCACCTCCCCAATTTCAGTCAATTAGCAAAGTTTTGCCCTCCTCTCCCCACTCTGACCAGTGCTGTTCACTACTCTGGATTCCACAATATGACCAAACTGCTTTCGACTTCACCCCAGGGGGCTCTAGGCCCTCGTCTGAGAATTACCTGTGTCCAGAAGGAGCCTGGCCCTGCACTGAAGGCCCCCAGAGCCGCACGTACAGGGGTCCTGTCTGCCTGTCAAGGTCACCCTGTCCTTTCTCTCACCTCGGGCTCTCGCCCTCCTTTCTGGGAAGGCCTGAGTATGGCTTCACACCCTCTTCCAGAAAGAAGGCCCAGGGAAGAACTCAGGGAAGAGGGACCAGGTGCTGGGAGTAAGAGGGCCGCCTGGGAGCCAGGACGCCCACCTGTTGGCCACGATGCTGGGGTAATAGGCCTTCTGGTTCTCGTCCACCTTCAGGTCGCTCTGGCGGATGAAGCGCTCCTGCTCCTCGAAGGCACGGATGACGCTCACCCCCAGCAGCGTCTCGTTGAAGTGGGAGTAAACCGGGGAGCGGCTGACCGACTCGAGGCGCTTCAGCTGCCGGGAGGAGGCCACGTAGAACCTCTGGGGGGTGAAAAATGCAGGGGGTTGGCGGGGCTCCCTCATCCCATCCGCCCAGGCTGTGCTGAAGGTGGTGTGTGGGCACGCGCCTGGCGAACTGCAGGCACAGAAGCGGCATGACAGCAGCCCAGCCCCCAGCCAAGGTCAAAAGCACTTGCAGGTGCATCAGCTCACTGGACCCTCACAGTAAACCTAGAAGGTGCGTGCTCCTATTTCAGGATGGGAGAGATGAAGCGCAGAGGAGGAGCTGAACCTCCTAAGGTCATGTGGCCCAGGAGTGGAGGAAGCTGGGGTTTGAGCTGACAGTCTGGCCGGAGGCCCGCTCTTACTGCTTCTGGGAAGCCATGGCCCTGGGGTTTTATGGATCCACCCTGAGGCTCTAGGTACAACTAGACTTCAGTTAGAACCCTGACTCCACCTGGCCCTGGGGGCAAAGGCCACATCTGCCCTGCTCTCCCCCAACTAGGGCGCTCGGCCTGTGCCAGGCTCACACAGCCACTTGACAAACACTTGCGGGAACAAACGCAAATCACAAATCACCCACTGGAAGCCTCGTGGAGCCGTGAACTGATATAGGCTGGTCAGCTGAGGTCACTCGGGTTCTCTGGCTCTCCATTTCCTCATCAGTACAAAAGTAAACTATGAGACCAGGGCTCCCTGCCCCAGGTGGCTAAAGATAACAGCGGGCAAGAAGCTGGCTTGTCAGTGGCGGTTGGACAGTGAACAAAAGCTAGTTAGGGCACAACCTCCCCGTCTCCTGCCTGCCTCACGCTCAGGGTCCTTTGGGGGCAGAGGCCTTCTGCAGAACACGGTAGCTCTGAGCTCAGTGGGGCTCGTGAGGTCAGCAGCTTCTTTATGGACGGCGTTCACACGGTCATCTGAGCCCACAGTTGGCCCGCCCTCTGTGGCCCCAGAAACTTGGCCCGCTAAGCCAGCTGCTCAGCGGCCCCCCAGCCATTCCCAGCAGCTGGGTCTGGTGACACGGCTCCTCCAGGCCCCCACCAGACGCCCCCACCCCCTCGACAGAGTCCACTCTCACGAGCTTTCTTGGTACGCACATTGGATGCAAAGGCCTCTAGAGTGTTTTGCTGTCCAGCTCCTGCCCCTTGTCATGTCCTCAGAGTTTTATCAGCTGTAAAAGCTACCTTGATACAACCTTCTGTTAAGGGATAACCTGAGTAAAAAAAACAGTTGTAGTTTCCCTTCTACTCTGTGCTGGGAGATACAACCCACCCGTGGGCCTGACTTCGGGAGCCCAAGTTCGTGCCTGGTCTGCTGAGTAAAATCCACAGCCTGACAAGTGTGGCCCGGAGCTGGGGGGCTGAGAGCTGGGGTGCTGACAATGCAGCGGGAATGCACAGAAGAATCCCTTATCATTTAACTTTCCCTTTTGAATAAAAATAACTTCTGCTTTTTAAAAATTAAAATAGGGGCTTCCCTGGTGGCCTAGGGGTTAAGTCTCAGTGCCATCACTTCAATGGCCTACCGCGACGGCCTGAGTTTGATCCCCGGCCAGGGAGTGACCCACACAAGGTACAGCAGACCTCCCCTGTCTCCCCACTGCCCCCCTCAGCAATGTATATTTTTTAAACTATACTCATTACATTATTCTTCATTTTTGCACAACGTATGGTTTCCCTGTGAAATTCCCACCACCGATACACCTGTGCACCCGTCTGAACAGGTTTCCCTGCTCGCGAAATGCTGCAACTAACCTTCTAAGGGTGAGGAAGAACACGTGTGGCACAAGAGTCAGCAGCACAAGCTTTGGGACCAGAGAGGTGAATGGACAACCCCCTCTCCACTTGGGCTTCAACAGGTTCATCTATCAACTGGAAACACGATCTACGCAGGGAGAACCCAAGAAGCCACAGCTGTGCTGACTCAGCTATCATATGCCCTGTTCCCCTGCCTCAGTCCTGCTTTCTGAAACACCGTGATGTGATGGTTGGTGCTCCAGCAGCCCTCTTGGACCATCAGACCCACTTCAGAATGGAAGATTTATGCAAAGATCACAGGGGGGAAAAAAAAGCAATGAAGGTGTCTGGGATATTAGTGAACTTTGGAGTGGCCATATCAACCCTGGATGGTCTGCCTCTCAGTTTTTATTATGAGGAAGAAAACTTAATGTGTAAGCTGCTGTCACTCATGTCTCTGATCTGCAGGGGAGAGGGTTAGGACATAAAGTATTTCATATTTAAAGAAATATCACTACCAAAAGTTTCTTTTCGGACAAAGCTTACATTTCCTTTTATAAAATATAGTAACTAAAACAGCCATTAGAAAAAAGGACAAAGGATTGCTGCAAGCTAAAAAAATAATCAATGCAGGTATTCAAAATCGAAAAAAAAAAAATCTAATCCTCTTCCAACAAATCCTCAATAGCGCCACATGGGGGAAACAGGGAGGTGAAGTGAGGCCCAGGGCACATGAGCGCCGACACCAGACCCCACCTCTCACCTGCACGAAGAAGTAGATGAGACCCAGTGGGGGGATGACGACGGCAGCCATGGGCGTGGTCAGCAGGATGATGATGCAGGCACCAATGACGTTGAACAGAGAGCCCATGAACATCTTGATGACCTGCGGGATTATCGAGTCCACCGTGTCCATCTCCTTGGAGAAGCGGTTCACCAGGTTCCCGCTGGGGGTGCGCTCGAAGAAGCTCATGGGTGAGCAGAGCACATTCTGCAGCAGGTCCAGGTGCAGGCGGCGGGAGGCGAAGATGCCCCCGATGGACACCGCCATGGAGTAGCCAAACACCGCAATACCTGCAAACACTCTCCGGTTAGTTCCATGGTGAACGACGGGCCAAGCTGGGGCAGGGATGGGGGGGCGATGGGACCGAGTAGACAAAACGGGGCTCGACCCCACCTGCTGAGGGCAATCACGGTAACGTGGTGGCTGGTACTATGTGCCAGAAGCCCCTGGGTGTCCAAACCTCACGACTCGCTGGACGAGTTCCGCCACTACCCAGTTTACAGCCGAGGAAGCTGGGGTGGGGGTGGGGGT